TTTTTAAACAGATTTTGCTGTAAATCTCATAAAAGTTGATTTTCTACATCCTGTGTATGATGCTTACACTAGAAATGACATGGTTCTTGAATTTTCTGTTTTCACCTGGCCTCATCCATCCGCAATGTTTCTGTTTGTGCTAAACTGACAGTACTGACACTCTGCGGTCTGTTACCTCAGTAGATATAAATAACTGATTTATCGCCTCCATATCCATTCATACTCTCTAACCTCTCAACAACTCTTCACACCTACATAATTTGCAAAACAAAGTGTCAAATCTCACGAAACATAATATAAATCCTCTTAAAAGACACAAGCAATAAATTGGAGAAAAAGAATAAGTCAACCAAACATGATTTTAATAACCAGTGACACACTCCTAACAATACCCTTGTATGCATTTGCATTTGTAATATATTTAATTGAATATATGCCATTCAGTAACAGCTGAGCAGACGGGTAGACTAACTGTCATTTTCCGCTGCAGTACAATCCACACTTCTGACCTAACTTGCAACTAATTTGAACCCTGGCTATATTAGAGGGTTCATATCCCTCTCAAAACCAAACAAAATACACTTTGACAACACACAGGGTGCGGTTCATACCGAGACACCATTCTGTGAAATTCCACACTTTGTGAAGATTTTGAAGCATCGGACATGAGAAAAAGCACCTATCTGCTGTTCTTACCAGACTAGAAACCAATATCATGATGAAAGACACACTAAATAAAGCCTTGAAAAAGACTATGGATAAAAACTAGGGTACATGAACCAAATTCAGAAAGGTCAAGAAGTCCCAGAAATGCAACATCCACAACTGTGGCCTAAAGAACTGATACGATTGGAAACTCTTAGGCTATACAGCAAAGTTACTGACACCTGTGAAAACGAGACTCTTTTCCGTTGTTCAAGGGTTTTAAGACACTTGATCTCCATTTGCACGTGTATTAGACGGATCTACCAAGTTAAGAAAAAGGTCATCTGATTTATCCTGAAATTTATCCTGTTTGCATCAAGAAAACGAGAGATTGGCTACAGCCTGAGTATAATAGCTGGTTGCCTGCCACTGATTTGCCAGAATACAGCTGGTTAACTGAATCAGAGCCCTTGTTCTCTTTGTTTAGCCTGCATAGATGACCTCTAACCTTCTACTGAGACCTTCCACTGCAAACTGGACGGTCAACAGTGATTCCAACAACTTTCATTTTGAACTAACTGATGCGTGGAGCAATAAAAAAGGGCCTGCTGCCATGTTAGATGTCCTGAACAACGTGTCCAAATCATTTATGACTATGAGATTCAGCAGTTCTGCTTTGGCTTGAGGTAACAAACATTCCCCTCACAGAACTGTCAAAAAGGCCATTCACCTCAGGTCTGAGATCTAGCTAGTTCAGAAACTTCAGCTTTGCAATCACAAGAATAAATTACATTTTGAAATTGTATTAATATAGAAAAAGATTATTTTGAATTGTAATAATATTTCACAATATTACCATTTTTACTGTCATTTTTTTAAATAAATGCAGCCTCGGTGATCATAAAAGACCTTCGACTCAGCGTGTAAAAAAAAAAAAACACTGACATGAGGAAATTATTCAGTGTTTTCTTCCTGTACACTAACTGTCAGCAAAGCAAATCAAATCCAGTCATTTTTTAAACAGATTTTGCTGTAAATCTCATAAAAGTTGATTTTCTACATCCTGTGTATGATGCTTACACTAGAAATGACATGGTTCTTGAATTTTCTGTTTTCACCTGGCCTCATCCATCCGCAATGTTTCTGTTTGTGCTAAACTGACAGTACTGACACTCTGCGGTCTGTTACCTCAGTAGATATAAATAACTGATTTATCGCCTCCATATCCATTCATACTCTCTAACCTGTTTCAACAGGGACTGAACTACAAGATAAACGTTAACAGAAAATGTTACAATTTTGCAGAGACTTGAAGGCATTTAATCATGTCAAAACAATACTATTACGACACTACATGCTACTACTACTATTAATAATACATAAATAAAAATAAAACAAAAGTAAAGGCAACTTTAATTTATTCAAATAATCAACTGGATACAATATATAGAATGGTCAGCAAAGAGATCAGAGGACGCTGTAAAGAGCTCAAACATGCTTCGAAAACAGGCTGATTGAAAGTGCGCAATTGTGATGGCATGCATTTACGTAACATCCCTGTAAACAGCCCTCTCAACAGTGCTCAAATGCAGTCGCTAGTGTGATATGGATGCCAACATTTACTCTAGCCCTTCAAGAAATACTGGGCAGAAACAGTGAGGAATGATATTAAGAGGTTATAAATATACAGTACAGCATTCACTTTAATATACAATACACCTCTCTATTCAACGTACCGTTTGCAATGTCAGTCTTTGAGAAAGCGGCTGTACATAGGAAACTGAAAAATGCTGTCTTTGATTTCAGCTATAGTGAATTAAGCTCATAGTTTTGATTGTACAGAAGAAGAAAACATGGTTATGGAGGCCTTCGCTAAACATGCATCATCTGAATTCTGCTAAACATTCTAATGTGCAAAGATAAATCTCCATATATTTTTTTCCCATTTTCCCTATAAATACATAATCAAAAAAAGGGGAACGGTGCTTCTCTGGTCCTGAATATATTATTTAAAGGTCATCAAATCTGTTAAAATGTCCACTTACATATACGGTAGTGATATTGTATAACCAGCTTCAGTCGGTGCACATGCATATTTAAGTCAATATTACAAGATTCCTTCAATAATCAACATCCAACATACACAAGAGACCAACCGACTGACTTACACAGTCCAGAACTGCACCACAATGTGAGATTTCTTATGCATAGTAATAGTACCTACACAAAAGATTCAAATGAAAAGTCTTAAAGACGGAGAAAGAAAATCACAGAAAACAAGTACTATAAAATACAGCAGAGTTTAACATGCAAGAAAACAAAAAAGTGGAAAAAACTAAAAAGTAGAGCGCTGACCTATAGAGTTACGAGGTAAACCAACAACATACATTCAACCTACTTGTGCAGAAAAGACTCCCCTGATACATGGAAGCATGAGCTATGATATTCATTTCAGTGGTGGAAAAGCACCATCACTCCGACATTTTGAAACTACAGCTAAATAGAGCAAACAAACAAACAATCATAGAAACAAATTCAACACAGGAGATACATGACCGTATAGTGCACATTGAGAAAATCTCAACAGGGCTTTGGACTATTTTTGCTAACTTTAAACTTAAAGCTTAAGCGAGTTACTTTAGTTCTACACTGTCTAGAACAGCTCGTCTAAAATGTCCAATTCTACTTTATCTACAATTCTATCATACCAAAAAACTCTACACATGTACTGATGATCTATGCTACAGTTATGAGTATGAAAATGTAAGGCATACATTTGTGTCAAAACAGACAAACATTGATTCCTTAAGTGAAAAGTCATGCATAGATTGCACAGAGTTATTGCATTTCCTTAAGAACTTCATAGAGTATGCGTCCTATATAGAAATGCTGATAATGAACTCACTCTGATCATGACGAAGTCGAAAATGCACTACTACATGGCATTTTGGTAATTCTACACAGGAAAAGGAAGTGAAATTACAGTAAGAAACTGTTAGCTTCATGATTAAAAGGGTCATGTTACATACAAGAAGAAGAACGGTCACAATGCCTATTGTGGCATTCCCTAAAGGTTATTTGTGCCCTAAATAATTAACCTACTATTCAAAAACATGCTATGTAACACTCTCATCTCTTGGTTTTGGGCTTTGTTGTTTTAAAAAAAAAGAGACAGTTTCCAGGTTTGGTCCTGTTCACCATCTACAGCACTGACATTATAATATAAACACAAAGTTATGTGATTTTATATATATATAAACAAACACACACATACAAACTTATGTGCATTTTCCCTAAATGACATCCTGAAGTATTTTATTTACTACATTTATACACATATCCTGGCTGCAAATTTTAAGAATTTGAATTAAAAAATTATTTGCTTTTTTTTATTATTTCACTTATTTTGCTTAAACAAACCTGATTTTGAGAAGAATTTCAGTTTAAGTTTAAATATCTGATGAAAGTCTTAGTTGTTGTTTTTTTCATTTATTTTTAAATTCAGTTCTGATAATCTAATGAGATCTGTAAAACGGCAATGAAGTCTCTCTAATCAATCAGTGATGGAAAAACACGAAGAAATCATACATTTCCTCTTATAAGTACATTTTAGATGTAACTGTCAGCAATTTAAAACATTTTTAATTATTTAAAGCTATTTATTTCACGTGTTAACTTCTGTATAATTTGTTTAAACAAACCTGATTTCTGAGATTTTCAAGTTTAAACATTTTTTGAATTAAAGTCTGAGCTATTTTTTATTTGATCATTTTCAAATCATATCATGTCTCTCAAATTAACGAGGGATGGACAAGAAAGAAATCATACATCATACAAGAATGAAAAACTAGTTAAAGGTTATTGTCCGCAAATGTGCAAAGGCTATTTATTATTTTATTTGCCTTGATTTTTATTTCTATATATTATTTATTTTATTTAAACCAAACAAACCTGATTTTCAAGATTTTTTTTGAGAATAAATTAATTTCTGATGAAAGCCTGAGCTATCTTTATTTTATTATGTTCAAATTCAGTTCTAATAATCTATAAGATCTGTAAAACTGCCACAAAGCAGCATTTCTCTTTAAGTAATGAGTGATGGACAAACCTAAGAAATTGTAAATTTTTCCCTAAAAAATTCTGTTTAGCCTCTTGGTGGCGCCCCCTAGCTGAAGTAGAGTAGAGTCTCCGTGCCGGAGAGGAGAGTAGAAACAGCTGCGCACACAGAAAACAGGTCCTGAGAGACAGCAGAGACCTGGGCAGACAGATACAGTGCATGCTGCTGTGGACTGTACAAATGCATGCATGAGTGGGTGGGCACCCTCCACATTAACAACCCAAGATGAGCTTCTTTCTTTTCTTCCTTCCTTCCTTCCATCTTCCTATCCACGCCCCAGTCCCAGGTCCATATCCTGGCCTTCCGGCAGCCACGACAGCCCCATCCTTGCGCATTTCGCCCGAGCAAGACGCTCACAACTATCAGGAAAGAACTTCATCCTCGCCCACGAAGGGCAGGTCCACACTCCGCATGCCTTCCTCGCTCTCTTGTTTCCTAGGAAACAGAAAATGTGGAGGTTTAAAATAACCGCACATTCCAGGCGTGTCAACCTGTCTATGGCAATGCAAACTGTTGTTAAGTGCAGCTAGAATTGTTAGGCAGCGGGGAAATTAAGTTAGCACGAGGGGGGTGGCGGGGTACATGGCATCGCATCAGTCATATGCTCGGGTTGGAAGGAGGCACATGAGAGTGACTGACTACCATGTTTTTGCGAGGGTTTGTACTGGGAGGCCAGGATTGCGGCACCACATGCAAAATGCACCCAAGTCCAACAAACCAATCAGAGTCCTGGTAAAACAAAAAAAGACCATGGCTGGGTGGCAAATCAGGATGCTCCTCTCCTTTTTTGTTGCTGACATTATGAATGAGGGGCATGCAGACATAGAAGGACCTGGAAAACATCATCCTGAACTCCCCATGAACTTACAGGACATAAATTAACTTGTTTTATCTGTTAAACATTACATGCAAAATATGCTTGATGTACTAAGGGTTGATTATTAAAAGTAGCTTGTACAGCTACTAAGGTTCTTTAAGAGGGAATATCATGAATATTTTAAATATTACATGCATAAAATGCTGTTTATTAGGTAGGAAAACACAAGCGGAAAAGCTTGTTATTCTTTAAGCCATCTGAATGATAGTTTTGAGCATGCTAAAAACACCACACCATTCCTTTTAAGTGCAGATCATTCAAAATGGGCATGACCATTATCTCCTACATATAATATAGGTCAGGATATAGGTGGAGCGGCTAGAGGAGCTTTACCTGGGGGTACTGAGATTGCGGCAGTATTTCAAACTCCCTGCTCTCCCTTTTCTAGACGGCAGGAGAGATGCGGATACGTGAGAATTCTTAAATCGGAGCGTTTCTATCAAATATTCCTGAAAACATGACTAAACAAGAGCCTTAAAGGAATATTTCATGCTAAATATAACTCAAATATGCAAATGTTTACCACAGAAAATAATTTATGCTTGTCCCTTGGTTTCTGAAAATCAACAAAAAAGTAGGTTAAAGGGATAGTTCACTCAAAAATGAAAATTCTACTCACCCTCATGTCATTCCAAACTTGTATGAATTTCTTTCTTCTGTTGAGTACAAAAGAAGGTATTTTGAAGAATGTTGGTAACCAAACAGTTGACGGAAGCCATTGCCTTCCATAGTATGGAAAGAAAATACTATGGAAGTCAATGGCTAAGTAAAGTAAGAATTTTCATTTTTGGGTAAACTGTCCCTTTAACAATCTTAGCAAAGCTATTATTATAAGATATTGTTACTTTGCTAAGTAGTAATCAACCTAGCAAAGCACTGCAATGAAAGCTTCAACATAGCAGCAAAGGGGGCACTCATGAGTCATAAAATGATAAAAACGACTATAGCTTTGTTCAAATATGCATACTTTCCCACTATGTAGTAGACGAGAAACAGTATGTGATGTCTGAATTCACAGCATTCATTAGACATTATGCAAAAAGTACCCAAATGACCTACTACTTCCAGTGTATCTGATCACTTTACTATCCCATGAGGCACCTGCAGAGGATTTGTGAATGGCAGTGAAGCGACGACAGCAATGACAACCTGGCAGATGTAGTACGTCTGGATTTCATTCATATTACACACACTTACACAGAACATTACTTTTTAAGTAAGTTAATTTAGTCATTTACTTTTAGTCATTTAGCAGACGCTTTTATCCAAAGTGACTTACAAATGAGGACAACAGAAGCAATCAAAACCAACAAAAGAGCAATTCATAAGTTGATGTTCAAAAATTCAAAAGTTCATATTCAAATGTAGTCCCTTATCGGACAGTATGGTCTTGTGGACTTTATGGACACACACAAGTGAAGAATACATGTCCACATTAAGTATGCCTTTTGGAACAAGGCCTTTAACATCTTGAGTAAAGTATTTTAGCTTCGGTTAGCTTGGTAACCGTAAGCTAAATGAAAACCAAATAAACATGTTTAATGTGACCATTCTTAGCTTTGGCTTCATAATGCAATGTGTGATGTATAAGTTCAAGAACATGAATTTATTAATCCGACAGAGATGCATTATATTAGAATTTTAGTAATTTAGCAAATCACTGGATTAAATGTCACCCACAGAAACTGTTAGAAGCACACAAAGAGTTAATTCACCAAGAAATGTAGTCTCATCTCAAAAAGATAATTTAGACAACTTAAGAGGTTAAATAACACATTTTAATGAAGGTTTAGAGTGTTAAAAAAACATTCAAACGTTTGTATGTCAGTAAGATTTTTTTTTAACGTTCGCTTATGCTCCAAGGCTGCATTTATTTGATCAAAAGTAGAGTAGAACAGTGACATTTGTGAGATATCACAATTTAAAAGAGGCGTTTTCTATTTTAATATATTTTTAAATGTTTTCAGTGTCACATGATCCTTCAGAAATCATTCTAATATGCTGATTTGCTGCACAATAAATATTTATTATTATCAATATTGAAAACAGTTGAGCTGTACTAAAGTGTGATACATTTATGTGGAATCAAAATCTTTTTAAAAGTATTAACAAAAGGACAGAAACTAGTCAAAATTATTTTCTGTGGAAATGCTGCATAGACATTAAGCTCTATTTTACCTGAAAATACACTTAAGCTCTATCCTTATCATATTACAGTATAACCTAGTGTAGTTAAATAGCATAGAGTAATTAAATTACTGTCAAACAAGCTAGGCAAACCATTTAAAATGGTCTGTGACCACTGAAACCACTCCAGAGTTCCAAGTCTATGTTCAGGAAGTTTGTTCCAGTTATAGCCCATCCCTAATGAGGAAGACTTACGATAGCGTGTGTCCTGGTGCGGCGGGACTCCTGTCTTCCCTGCGGCCCCAATCAAACGGGTTCCCAAAAGACCGTTTGCGCAGCATAGTCCTAACCAAGATCTGTAGCAGAGAGCATGCAGCAAGAATAAGAACTCCAAAAACAGGCGCTGGGCTGTAATCTGTGTGGGTCATTAATCTGTTTATTCATTTGATGAGGTTATTAGCATTGAATACATTATGTGTGTTCATAAAAACAGAATTAGGGTTGTCTAAATAGGCCACCAGGGGCTTGCAATCTCACCACGGTGGCCAGGCTGGGGATGTGCTTGACAGAGTTTTCCACCTCCTCCTCTGTCACTTCTATCAGGCTGCAGCAGTTGTCGTCCTCAGGGGGGAGGGGCTCAGCGCCATGCCGCGTCACCCATGGGTGCACCTACAACAACAACAACGGAACAGAAATCTTGCTTTGATATCATTAATTAACTCAAGACTCTGTCTAGGCAGCTGGAGTGTCCTATATTCACACAGGAAGTGCTTTGAAATCATCTTTAAAGAATAAGGAATGGTTTTATTTTTGGTCCATTTCAAGTATGGAGGCTAATTATAACATAAGAAAAAATACACTACCATGTACAAACAATTTGGGGTCAGTGAGATTTTTTTCTTGAAAGAAATTATTACTTCTGTTTGGCAAGAATGCATCAAGTCGATCAAAAGTGGAAGTAAATATATTTTTTTTTAACAAAATATTTTTTTGTCAAATAAATGCAGTTCTTTTGAACTTCCCATTCATCAAAGAATCCTGAAAAAAAGTATTACAGTTTAAAAAAATACATATTAAAGGAAGACTCCACTATTATTGAAATTTTTCCAACTCCCCTAGAGTTAAACAGTTGAGTTTTACTGTTTTCGAATCCATTCAGCCGATCTCCGGGTCTGGCGGTAGCCCTTTTAGCTGTAACTTAGCATAGATCATTGTATGTAACAGGCAACCGTCTACACAGGACGCGACAGTTGTCGTGTTGCGCCGCGCTGCATCGGCTAAAGTCTGTCTACACTGGACGCGACAAAGCGACCGTTGAAAA